TTGTGTGGTGCCCATATCTTAAGAAGCACATCAACAAACTGGAAAAGGTGCAAAGACATGCTACGAAGTGGCTCCCAGAACTGAAGGGCAAGAGCTACGAGGAGAGGTTGGAAGCATTAAACATGCCAAAACTAGAAGACAGAAGAAAAAAGAGGTGATATGATCACTACATACAAAAATAGTAACAGGAATTGATAAAATCGACAGGGAAGATTTCCTGAGACCTGGCACTTCAAGAACAAGAGGTCATAGATTTAAACTAGCTAAACACAGATGCCGAAGAAATATAAGAAAATTCACCTTCGCAAATAGAGTGGTAGACGGTTGGAACAAGTTAAGTGAGAAGGTGGTGGAGGCCAAGACCGTCAGTAGTTTCAAAGCGTTATATGACAAAGAGTGCTGGGAAGACGGGACACCACGAGCGTAGCTCTCATCCTGTAACTACACTTAGGTAATTACACTTAGGTAATTACACTGTGAGAGGCCAAATACTATGATCTAGCCTCTATACTCCTTCAATGTCCCGAGTATTTGACGAATCTCCGCGGACCTCACTAACATGTGTCTGTCTCACCGATGGCAGCCTGTACACTAAGACACCTGGTCACACAGCTGGAATAACCACACAGGGCAAAAATCCAGAACAGGAACTTGAGGCCAGAGACGACTGATCTGACCACCAGCGCATCAGTTCAAGAACTGGTGTGGTGGGCTGCTGGTCCCCCCCCTCCCCCTCCCGTACGCTAATGAGCTGGAGTACAAGTTACATGAAGTGTTGCTTCTTGGGTTTCTTTCTAGGGAGAGTTATTTTGATCTTTATGGATATAGATTGCACAAGTTAACCTGACAGTGGTCTGTTTTGATTCGCCTACTTTTCTGGGTCCTTCCCCGGTCGATGGCAATTATGACAGACTTTAAATGTAAAGTGCTCATAGGCCATTGCTCCCTGAGCCTCTCTGAGGGGACCAAGTTCTGACTCGTGATCCCCGGTAGGCATAAGGACTCCTGTGACTGATGACCCCAAGCTAATATAGCACATATCAGTACAGATAGCTAAACAGAGCCAACGGGGCTACCCACAGAAAACAGCCTATAGGTATCACAAATGAGAGATATGCATAACAGTACTGATTATAATAGCAAACATGAAAGTAATTACACTCTCAACAAAACACTAACCTTGCTATCATCCGTAATAAAGTAGTTTTTCCAAGTCCATTTCTTCCGACCAGAGCATATCTTCGACCAAAAGCCAGAGAAATTGTTGCATTCTGAATCAGAACCCTGCAAGACAGATAAATATAAGCATGTCAATGTTAGAAGATCAAGTCAGCCCCAGAGATTTGCTCGTAGCTTCATGATGTATAACTTTAACAGCGCTGTGCCAGTACAATATGACTATATGGCATACTGCTCTCACAGTTGTACTGTGTACTGCTCTCACAGCTGTACAGTGTACTGCTCTCACAGCTGTACAGTGTACTGCTCTCACAGCTGTACAGTGTACTGCTCTCACAACTGTATGGTGTACTGCTCTCACAGCTGTACAGTGTACTGCTCTCACAGCTGTATGGTGTACTGCTCTCACAGCTGTATGGTGTACTGCTCTCACAGCTGTACAGTGTACTGCTCTCACAGCTGTACAGTGTACTGCTCTCACAGCTGTATGGTGTACTGCTCTCACAGCTGTACAGTGTACTGCTCTCACAGCTGTACAGTGTACTGCTCTCACAACTGTATGGTGTACTGCTCTCACAGCTGTATGTGTACTGCTCTCACAGCTGTACATACACCTGTGTACTGCCCATACACCTGTATGGTGTACATGGTGTACTGCCCATACACCTGTATGGTGTACTGCTCTCACAGCTGTATGGTGTACTGCTCATACACCTGTACAGTGTACTGTACACCTGTACAGTGTACTGCCCATACACCTGTACAGTGTACTGTACACCTGTGTACTGCTCTCACAGCTGTATGGTGTACTGCCCATACACCTGTACAGTGTACTGCCCATACACCTGTACAGTGTACTGCCCATACACCTGTACAGTGTACTGCCCATACACCTGTATGGTGTACTGCTCTCACAGCTGTATGGTGTACTGCCCATACACCTGTACAGTGTACTGCCCATACACCTGTATGGTGTACTGCTCTCACAGCTGTATGGTGTACTGCTCTCACAGCTGTATGGTGTACTGCCCATACACCTGTACAGTGTACTGCCCATACACCTGTATGGTGTACTGCTCTCACAGCTGTATGGTGTACTGCTCTCACAGCTGTATGGTGTACTGCCCATACACCTGTACAGTGTACTGCCCATACACCTGTATGGTGTACTGCCCATACACCTGTATGGTGTACTAGTCATACATCTGTATGGCATATTAACTGCCCGAAATCCATCAATCCATCTATAAATCCATCAATGTTTTGTATCTCATCTTGTATGAATGTACTTTGCCTGAATAAATATTTAATTTGATTTGATTTGTATACCAAGCACAAGAGGGAAGACAAACTTGGAGGAGGGGAATCCATGGTGAAGTACAACAGGTCAATAATATATATTCCATTACAAAGAGCTCACACTGAACAGTATTTCTGAGCCTTGAAGAATATTATCCATATTTCAATATCCTCCCTTCCCCCTCTCACTTTCCCCAATATATGCCATTTTAAGATACATACTTATCACCAAATGCTACATCAAAGCTTTCTATTCTGATATCTTTTGTGTTGCATCCGCCCTTAGCATCTAACGCTCGATCCTTCTTGCTCACAACCTGAGAAAAGACATTGAAGGACGTTATTACACTTGGCATGAATGACGTGCTCGACTCGGGGGAAACTGTGACACAGCATTCTATTTGGGGGAACACAAAATAAATGGCAAATGTGCATATCAGTATCGTTTCAACTGACCTGCGCCCATAACAAAAGTTGGTTACTAACCTGGGAAGCGGTGGCCATGTCCAATATAATCCCTGGTTGAGTGTCTTTCTTATCTGTATTTATTCTTTTCTCCTTTTTTTCCTTTAGCTTTGCTTCTGCTTTATCAAGCTTTCTTTGGTCTACTTTCTGAGGAATATACAGTACATCAAGACGTTTATCATAGAGAACGTATGGGTATTACGGTTCATGATAGAAAGGTGCGTGACACCTGTACACACTGTATATAGACTAATAAGAGAGAGGAACAAAACAAAACATTATAGCATTTGCAAGTATTATTTTACATTTTAATTCAGAATACAATCAATGGAGGCCTTACTAGTCCATCATCCCTCTCCCTAGACCAGACAGATTTGATAGCTTGCTCCTCCAGCTCCATATTGGCGGCCATCTCTGCCAGCTGCACTGGTGCATCAAGAATTTTACGTTCAATTGTTCCATTGGGAGTTGTGAGCTTTTTCATCATCTCATCACATAGCTTCCTGCACACAATTATAAATCATGAATAAATGTAAAAGGAAAGTAATCAAAGAAAACACATTATTATTTGTATATAGTTTTGATATAGATTGAGGAAAAAGCACTAAGTCAGTATGACTATATGGCACACGGAACAGATACGAGGACAGGATATGATCTGGGGTTGTGGACTTTAATCACTTGGAGCCTCAAGAATCAAACTCTGGCCCTGCAAGAAGTGAGGCTGTCGCCCAACCGACCAGTCCCATTCTCTGTATTAAGAATCAATACGTGGTATAATATAATGTCTGGCTACATCATGGCGGTTTTCTTTCCTTTCTTCCTTCTTTGAGGTGAGCTCAAGTATAACATTCCCTAAATATCTTGACAGCATCTAGTGTTGGAAAGTTACACCAGGAGGAGTAAATATGTTGGTTTAAACTTTCCACATTACCTATGCCAGATTAAATTTATAACTATCACATCCCAATCACTACTGTACAGTTTTATTATTCCTCAATTACAGTATTGAGCAAGCGCCACCAAGGCTGACACACGCAGCACGAGTTCACAGCACTGCTGTTCAGCTTGACCACAGCATCGCCTACAAATGCCATAATATATATATGTTCATGCTATTATTTAGCGATGATAGTTCTGCAGAAGACCCCTGACTGTGATAAAACTGACCAGGATTCTGATAATAGCAGGATTGTGGTGATATTTAGTGCTGTGCTCCATGGAGGGAGGAGTAATGCTGTGGGAGGGAGGGTGGTGTCGTCGTCTTCTGACTGTGTGTGGCCACCTTTTATTGACTGCACTCACCATACCAGCTTAGTGGTTCGCTATGGTGAACACAAATGTAGATACTTATATATATATCGTGTGTATAGAGTGTAATAACAGCAATAGGAGTAGGTTGGGAGCTGCCATTTTGGTGAGGGAGGTGCGTCGTCTGCATGACTTATCATTTTGTTTATTGGTGGCCACTATGGTCTTTGGGCACCATACCCACTTATTTGTACAGGTATGGTGAATATAAAAGGTAGATATTTATATATAATGTGCGTATATAGCGTAATAACACCACAAACAGTATTGTTGGAGGAGAAATGTTAATGTGTCTGGCCTTGAGGGCGGCCGCCACCAGCTGACTGTGTGAGTAGCTACGTCTTTGTGCCTTTACTCACCGTAAAAGCTTAGATGTACAATTATGGTGAACAAAACATGTAAATACTTATATATAACGTCTGTATATAAAAGCAAAAACAGTATGGTGGGAGGAGAATGGTGGCAAATCAGGTGAGGTGAGGGAGGGAGGGAGTGGCAGCCAGTGGTGGGCTGCCACTGGCTGCCATTGCCACTGCCACTCAGCATACCAACTTAGTGGTTCGTTATGGTGAACACGAATGTAGATACTTATATATAACGTCTGTATATAGTGAATAAAAGCAAAAGCAGTATGGTGGGAGGAGAATGTGGGCGAGTGAGGTGTTGAGGGAGTGAGTGGCTGGCTGGTGTATGGCGGTCACTCCTCGTATATGCCACTTACGATTTATTTATTATTTTTCCCATGATCAGTGAACACAAATTAACAGGTTAGGAAGAAAAAATATTTTTTTTTTTTTTTTTATATGCGCCTGTGAGTGTCAAATGGTATATAGCCATGCACCATTTAAGGGTTAAAGCCAAAGATAGTAAAAAAATCTTTCAGTAACAGCAGCAGCACTGTAGAATCATGCATGGGAAGAACTCATGGAGGGTGAGTGGGTGGCAGGCAGAGAGTGGGTGGGCAGCAGTGGGAGGATAGGTGGTAGACTGACTAGTAGTATTGCGGGTGGCAAAGTAGGTGGATGGCTGGGCAGTGGCGATTGGACAGGTGTCAGGGAGTGCGGATAGACAGTAGAGCAAGATGGTTGACAGGGTGGGCATAGTAGGTGGACAGAAAGGCATTTGAGAGTGCAGGCAGCAGAACGCGTAGGTGGCAAAGTGGTCGGGCTGGTGGCATGGCAGATCCCTCCCAGCAAGCATTAGAGTGGAGCACACTCCACTCTAATGCTTGCTGGGAGGGTATTGAACAGCTGTAAACCTCTGATGTTTAGACAGTGTTCTCTGATGGTGCCTATGGCACCCCTGCTCTTCACTGGTTCTATTCTGCATTTTCTTCTGTATATTTTGCTGCAGTATGTTGTTATTCTACTGTGCAAATTTGGACCTGGCCCTCCAGTACTTTCCATGTATGTATTACTTGACATAGCTCTCGTCTCCTTTCCAAAGAGTACATTTTGATAACTTTGAGATGGTCTCAATAATTTAGGTGTGTTATCGTGTATATATCTGCCGTATAGGTTCTTTGTTTTCCCTCTATTTTTCTCATGTAAGTGGACACAGAATGTTTCTCTAGTACAGTCAGTTACCATATATGTCCGGCATACAATGTGCACCTCAATTGAAAGGATGTTTTGTGGAAAACTATTTAGTGTGTTTCACCATACAATTACCGAAAGTGATTTAAAGGGGTTTTATAGGGGGAAAACATACAATTTTGTGCATGTACATACAATATATATTTGATTGGGTACATGGGCGTAACGAAGGGATATTAATAGGGCATTAAGAGTATCAACACAAAACAGAACACGAAACAATAGGTATAAAGTGGATAAGATTGAACTCTAAACTTATCCAATTTGTTCAATTGGATAAGTTTAGATTTAGGAAAGAACTGGGTAAATACTGTACTGGTTTGGTAACAGAGGTCATAATTTGTGAAACCAATTACCGCGTAACATAACAGAAGTGGGATCCCTTGATTGTTTCAAGCGTAGGAATTGACATATATATAAATGAGATTGGATGGTTATCAATAGGAGCTGCTTCGTATGGGCCAATAGGCTTTCTGCAGTTACCTTCATTATTATGTTCATACATTCTTAAATGGAGCAAAAATTCTATCCGCAGGAAAATATGGAAACTCACCTAACTTGCTTGGATGCTTGTAGTCGTGGGCTCCAGAACTAACTCACATCTACACATTATACAACTATAAAATCCCAGAGTGCGAACACAAATTTGGTGCTTGTATGACAGCAGAAATGACGCATACCTGCTCATTATATCCCCCTCCCTGCCATTCCTAGGGCACACGCCACTCTCTGCCTGCCCCCTGGGGCACACTACTCTCTGCCTGCCCTCCAGGGCACACACTCTGCCTGCCACCCAGGGCACACTCTCTGTCTGCCCCCAGGGCACACACTCTGCCTTCCCCCAGGGGCACACACTCTGCCTGCCCCCCAGGGCACACACTCTGCCTGCCCCCCAGGGCACACTCTGCCTGCCCTCCAGGACACACTCTGCCTGCCCCCAGGACACACTCTCTGCCTGCCCCCCAAGGCACACTCTCTGCCTGCCCCCCAGGACACACTCTCTGCCTGCCCCCCAGGACACACTCTCTGCCTGCCCCCCAGGACACACTCTCTGCCTGCCCCCCAGGACACACTCTCTGCCTGCCCCAGGGGCACACACTCTGCCTTCCCCCAGGGGCACACACTCTGCCTTCCCCCAGGGGCACACACTCTGCCTTCCCCCAGGGGCACACACTCTGCCTTCCCCAGGGGCACACACTCTGCCTTCCCCCAGGGGCACACACTCTGCCTTCCCCCAGGGGCACACACTCTGCCTTCCCCAGGGGCACACACTCTGCCTTCCCCCAGGGGCACACACTCTGCCTTCCCCCAGGAGCACACACTCTGCCTTCCCCCAGGGGCACACACACTGCCTTCCCCCAGGGGCACACACTCTGCCTTCCCCCAGGGGCACACACTCTGCCTTCCCCCAGGGGCACACACTCTGCCTTCCCCCAGGGGCACACACTCTGCCTTCCCCCAGGGGCACACACTCTGCCTTCCCCCAGGGGCACACACTCTGCCTTCCCCCAGGGGCATACACTCTGCCTTCCCCCAGGGGCACACACTCTGCCTTCCCCCAGGGGCACACACTCTGCCTTCCCCCAGGGGCACACACTCAGCCTTCCCCAGGGGCACACACTCTGCCTGCCCCCCAGGGGCACACACTCTGCCTGCCCCCCAGGACACACTCTCTGCCTGCCCCCCAGGACACACTCTCTGCCTGCCCCCCCAGGACACACTCTCTGCCTGCCCCCCAGGACACACTCTCTGCCTGCCCCCCAGGACACACTCTCTGCCTGCCCCCAGGACACACTCTCTGCCTGCCCCCCAGGACACACTCTCTGCCTGCCCCCCAGGACACACTCTCTGCCTGCCCCCCAGGACAAACACTCTGCCTGCCCCCCAGGACACACTCTCTGCCTGCCCCCCAGGACACACACTCTGCCTGCCCCCCAGGACACACTCTCTGCCTGCCCCCCAGGGCACACTCTCTGCATGCCCCCCAGGACACACTCTCTGCCTGCCCCCCAGGACACACTCTCTGCCTGCCCCCAGGACACACTCTCTGCCTGCCCCCCAGGACACACTCTCTGCATGCCCCCCCAGGGCACACTCTCTGCCTGCCCCCAGGACACACTCTCTGCCTGCCCCCCAGGACACACTCTCTGCCTGCCCCCCAGGACACACTCTCTGCCTGCCCCCCAGGACACACTCTCTGCCTGCCCCCCAGGACACACTCTCTGCATGCCCTCCCAGGACACACTCTCTGCCTGCCCCCAGGACACACTCTCTGCCTGCCCCCAGGACACACACACTGCCTGACCCCCAGGACACACTCTCTGCCTGCCCTCCCAGGACACACTCTCTGCCTGCCCCCCAGGACACACTCTCTGCATGCCCCCCAGGACACACTCTCTGCCTGCCCCCCAGGACACACTCTCTGCCTGCCCCCCAGGACACACTCTGCATGCCCCCCCAGGACACACTCTCTGCCTGACCCCCAGGACACACTCTCTGCCTGCCCCCCCCAGGACACACTCTCTGCCTGCCCCCCAGGACACACTCTCTGCCTGCCCCCCAGGACACACTCTCTGCCTGCCCCCCAGGACACACTC